TATATATATATATATAGAGAGAGAGAGAGAGAGAACCCTCTGATTACAATAGCAAAATCAGACTTTAGTTCATCCTTGGAGAATCCAAAATAAACATTGACACCCCCTCACCACCAATTCTATTATTTCTGCCATGGTGGCACATCTGGATATTTTGAAAACCTGGTTAGGGAAATGGCGGTGGTGTCCAAGGTGGTTGGACCTCTGAGGCAATGCAGGTGCTTTCCCCTCTCTGTGGAATGACCCCCAACTTCTTAGTGTGTTTTATCAAATCCACAATTATGACCTCCAAATGTGCCCTCAACTTATACATGAGGTCAACTTACATCTTAGTAATTATATATATATAATCTTGCTATTTGAGCATAGGTTTAATAGCTCCTGAAGCCTGGTGTGCTTCATTTCAAATAAAAAAATGAGATCATTCCCAAACATACAACTGCATAAGAAATAACAGCTAAGTTTTTTTTTAAAAAAAAATAAATAGTATAGGATTCTGAAGTACACAGTATATTCCAGAACAATGAAATTTGTAGAATTTGAAGAAGAAGCATACTGAATTTAGTGAGAAAAAAAGATATAAATTTCATACATTTTACAAAATGTTTATGCACACAAAAGAAAATCAACAGCCTTGAAAATAAAATAATATTTTTGCATCAATCATTGTTTCTACTGTATTTTCAAGAACCATTTTCCAGCCTGTTAGGCATACATATAGATAAACATTTGCATAGTTAGGGAAAATTAAATATCACCAAGATACCCATTAATTTTGTTGTCAATCAGCATATGTATAATTTTTGCTCAATATAGGAAAACCTAGGAACTTCTTATTTAAATTTCCCAGAATACAGAAGAACATATATTCTCTAAATATAAAATACAAAAATAATATAATTTAGCTATAAAATAATATATGATAAAGGATTTATTTATATCAGTATAAATATAGTTTTCTTTTCAATCCAGCTTTACAATTCTAATTTAATCAGATTAGATTTTAATTGTACTTGCCACATTCCAGGGATTCATCTGATCCATCTCCGCAATCATCATCATGGTCACATACAAATTGCTTTGGAATGCAGACTTTATTGCGGCATGTGAAAGTGTTTTCATCACAAGTATTATTAGGCGCTATGAAAAAATGGGGAAAATATTTGAAAATATTAAAAAAAAATCTAACACATTTTTGTACTGGAACAAGATTCAACCAGAATTGATTCTGCAAAAGAATGGCATGTCTGTTTGTGCTGGTATTTCTTTTTTTAATAGAAAAATGTATTCTGACTTCTATACATTTCTATTTGTTTGCATAACTTGGGTAGAAAACCAGCTGGCAATTTAAGGACAAAACTTTTCCTCTGAAGAAAATAATATATAACATGCAATGTTTTGTTGTTTGTTTTAAATTATGTACCATGTATTCTTCTACTTTACTGGAAATATACCATTCCATTTCTTTTCCATGATAACTAGAATCTGACCAGAAAGAACACGAAGTGTCTGTGGAGATACTACACATTTATTTTTTTTAAAGTTGGTGTTACACAGATATAATTTGTTCAGGAGTATGTACTAAAGCTGGCAGAATACAATGGCTGCTGTATTATTTGGTGAATTACCTGTCATACTTTATGTCTATCACATAGGATCTATCTAGTTGCATGTTCATTACTGAATTGGAAAGTCTGCCTTTTTACAAATGGTTCTAAGTAGACTTCATTACAAAGAGCTGTAGGTGCTATCATGACCCGTCAAAAGAAACGTCATCAATTTTTTTAAAAAAACAACAACACTGAAATTCTCCCTTTGATGTGGGGAAATTATCTTCTGGAAATAGATGTATTTGAACACCCTCTGTAGTAACCTTCACGAGGCACATGAAACAGATTTCATCATTTGTTACAGTCGTCGCTCACCAGTAGGGCATTCTCCTCACTTCCAGTATTAAATGGCAAATTCCAAATAATATGGATCATCACAAGCACATCTGCTCCTTTTAATGGCTGGTCTTTGTGCCATAGGTGCTGCCATTCTTTTTTGCGAGGTTTTCTTTTTCTTTTCCTTTTTTTTTTTTTGGGGGGGGGGTCTGCTTAGAAACTAATATGCATGAGCTTTGTAGGTCCTAGACTATTTATTTAGACTTTTGGCTGACTTTATTTGAATCTGGCCTTTCCAAGTGGAAAATATATCACTTAATGTGATATAAGGTAAATATGAGGGATAAAATATATCACTTAATGTTTTAAAAGACAAAATAAACACAAAAGGGAATAGGAAGAAAATACATGCTGCATACCGCATCCTGCTGTAGCAAGCTCATCACTTCCATTGGGACAGTCTCTTTCTCCATCACAAAGCCAGTGCTGAGGAACACAGGCATAGGAATCTAAGCAGTTGAACATGTTTGGGGCACATGTTACTGAGTCTGCAGAAAGGTTAATTGTTAAAAATTTTAAAAATATCTTACAGATTCATTACTTTTGAAAGCTATGTTCTTAAGAGCTCTAGATACCATTGCTAAAAAGAAGTCAAATTCCAGTTACTGAACTCTAAAGTCCCAATAGGACAACTGAGATACAATATGTTGGAGGACTCTGAATAGTGCTAATCAAATTATTATTTATATGCTAAGGAGCAATATTCAACTCCCTATAACATTTTATTGTTCATCAACTTTATGGTATGAAGTATTACATTTTAAAATACTTTTAAAATATGAAAAATAGTTCTCATTCAGTGAATGACCTCATTCAGTGAAGAGGTTGTCAGCCAAATAATTTATGTCATACACAACGAGTTCAGATTAGATGGAGAGAGGAATGCATTTATTATTGATTGAATGGTATTTAGATGCCACCTTGTAACAATAATTCTTTAAAAAGGATAAACAAGTATTAGAAGTAGTAGCATATAACAGAACAAAACTAGGACACAGAAATTTGACAGATATTAACACTAAAACTGTCACAAGGAAGACATTTTTAAAATGTTGATCTGCTGGAGAAATGTTTCATAATGTGGCATCAATAACTTCCACAAACCTTTATTAGAGATTGAAATAATATTGAAAAATATGTGTGGGCATGGGAGAGCATGCAAAGCTGGAGGGAGGCCCATGCCAGCGACTCCCTTCAAGGCATGGGGGTTCTGTGTGGGAAGTTTGGCCCAATTCTATCATTGATGCGGTTCAGAATGTGCTTTGATTGTAGGTGAACTTTAAATCCCAGCAACTACAACTCTCAAATGTAAAGGTCTATTTTCTCCAAACTCCAGCAGTGTTCACATTTCAACATATTGAATATTTATGCCAAGTTTGGTCCAGAACCATCATGGTTTGAGTCCACAGTACTCTCTGGATGTAGGTGAACTACAACACCAAAACTCAAGGTCAATGCCCACCAAACCTTTCCAATATTTTCTGTTGGTCATGGGAGTTCTTTGTGGCAAGATGGGTTCAATTCCATCTTTGGTGGAGTTGAGAATGCTATTTGATTGTAGGTTAATAATAAATCTCAGCAACTACAACTCCCAAATTGCAAAATCAATCCCCTCCAACCCCACCGTTATTCAAATTTGGGCATATCAGATATTTGCGCCAAATTTGGTCCAGTGAATGAAAATACATCCTACATATTGGATATTTACATTACCATTCAAAACAGTAGCAAAATTGCAGTTATGAAGTAGCAACAAAAAATAATTTTATGGTTGGAGGTCACCACAGCATGAGGCACTGTATTAAGGGGCTGCGGCATTAGGAATGTTGAGAACCAGTGTTCTAAGAATTTTTCTTGATTTTAATGTTGTTGATGGACCTGAGGTCTTTTATCCCTAAAGAGTTCCTAAGTGTGCTTTTGTACATGTGTGCGTGCGCATGCGGACACATGTACACATGTGTTTAATACACTTTCCATCAGCTTTCCCTTAGTCTAGGAAATAAGGTCCTATGTATATTATTATTCTCCTTTGATCTCCCCACCCTGCAATTATTGTCTGTTAAGTTTTCATTTAAGCATAAAAACCACTGAAAATGCAAAACTATCTGAGTTAACAAGGCTAGTTAAAAACTCAATGCTATAGTAGGCTGCATCAATAGGAGTATAGTGGTTAGGTTGAGGGAAGTCATAGTCCCACTCTATTCTGCTTTGCTCAGACCTCATCTGGAATATGGTGTCTAGTTCTAAGTGCCACAATGCCAGAAGGATATGAACAAACTGGAATATGTCCAGATGGGGACAACTAAAATGATCAAAGGTTTGGAAGCTAAGGCCTATAAGGAATGGCCAAGAGAGTATGTCTAGCTTGGAGAAAACAAGGCTGAGAAGGGACATGACAGCCAAGTTTAAATATTGAGGAGGGGACAAGCTTATTTTCTGCTGTTCTGGAGACTAGGGCATGGAGCAAAGGATTCAAATTATAAGGAAGAGGTTTCCACCTAAACATCAGGAATAACTTCCTGAGGGTAACAGCTGTTCCTCAGTGGAATATGCTGCCTCAAAACATAATGGAGTCTTCTTCTCCTGAGGTTTTTAAGCAGAGGCTGGATGGTCATCTGTTGGGTGTGCTTTGATTCGGTATTCCTACATGGCAGAATGGAGTTGCACTGGATGGCCCTTGGGGTCCTTCCAACTCTAGGATTCTATTATTCTAATTCTCATATTGAAATCACGGTAGGCTTGTTCTCTTTCTTTTGTAAATCACAAATTAAGTACAAGAGTACAGTAGAAATGTATGACTTGGCTTCTTGAACAGTGTTAGACATGATGGATTTTTACTACTTTTCTGGTACTTTACAGCTTCTGACTCTAAAGTTTCCTATCACTTGGAGAAGAAATGATGCAATTGTCTGTTATTATGCCTGTTATCTTAGCCCTATATGTGAATGCTGTTTGAAATATTTTGAGGATGGGTCAGAATGTCTACATTAATATGCATACTATGCAGAATCACGATCATTTTGAGTGCAAATTTACAACTCCAGCCAGCACTTAAAAGCCTACATAAAATATTTAGGTAATACATTATGCACATTACTAATGTCATGCCCTCACCAGAGAATGTATCCAGTGATAATAAGTACAAGCACTCCACCCCAATCTGAAAGGAGTGGCTGCTCCTGCAGACTCTGCACCTCAGATAGAGAAGACCGCACCATGGGATAGGGTTGTAAGATCAAAAAAGGGACATGGAACAGTACTCCTTTTTGATACACCAGTAAAAAAAATCTGTTGTCGCTCAGACTGTTGCTCTTAAATTGTAATTTTACTCTTGTGGTTTTAGAGATCCAAAAAATGTTTTAAAGTTTGTTACTGCTTCTCTGATTAGTATCTCACTGTCATTTATAACATCTTCCAACCTCTTTATACGCTGCTTTCAGGGAGGCTCACATCTTTGGAATAAATGCTTGTACATTTGTACATGTTTTAAATAAATGCTTGTACTCACCGCAAATAACTTCACTTTCATCCAAGCCATTTCCACAATCATCCTCTCCATCACAAGCCCATTGTTTTGAGATGCATCTATTCTCAGAACATGCAAACTGATTCCATGAACAAGAAGAATCTGAAAGGAATTGCAAATGAAAGAGGCTTTGTTGCTGTGTACCTTCAAGTCATTTTCTGACTTATGGCAGCCCTAAGGCTAAGCTATCACAGGGTTTTTTGGCAAGATGTACCCGGGGGGGGGGGGGGGGGTTTCCATTAGTTTTCTCAGAAACAAAAGGAGGTTTATTTGTTCAAGGTCACCCAGCAGGTTTTCATGGCCAAGTGGGGATTCAAACTATGGTCTTCCAAAGTCCTAGTCATTTAAGTCACTGCAAAAAAATTATAAACGGCAGAATGTAGGAAATATTCTACTGCCTGGCTAGAGGAGAAAATTCATATTTTCTTATTTTTCAAAGCATGGTGAGCAAAACCTGATTCAACAGTCTGATTTACCAGTACAACAACAATTCTTTATTGATTAGTCAATTTTGACCATATCAAAACATGCAAAACATACAAATCATACACA